GGATTGTATTTTTTTTTTTTTTTTTTTTTTTTTTTTTTTTTTTTTTTTTTTTTTTTGTTGTTGTTGTTGTTGTGCATATAAGCAAAATATATGTGATAAATTAGTAAAATATCAACAAATAATAAATTTTGAGCCATAATTTCGAAAGTGTAACGAATTCAATGCTACAAAACTTAAAAGGTTTAACTTGAAACGAATTCATCAAATCTAAAATTTGGATCGGCTTCTAAGCACAACCTCCTCTTTTTATCTAGAGTTTTGCATATGAGCAAAATATATGTGGTAAATTAGTAAAATTTCAACAAATATTAAATTTTGAGCCCATCATTTTGAGAGTATAATGAATTCAATGCTACGAAACTTAAAAGGTTTAACTCATCAAATCTAAATTTTGGATCCATTTCTAACCACAACCTCCTTTTTCATCTAGAGTTGTGTATCTAAGCAAAATATATGTGGTAAATCAGTAAAATTTTAACAAATATTAAATTGTGAACCCTTAATGTTAAAAGCACAATGAATTCAATGCTGCGAAACTTAAAAGGTTTAACTCATAAAATCTAAATTCTAGATCCGCCTCTAACTTCAACCTCCTCTTTTTACCTGGAGTTATGTATATAAGCAAACCATATGTGGTAAATTAGTAAAACTTCAACAAATATTTAAATTTTGAACCCATAATTTCAAAAGTGCAATGAAGTCAATGCTACGAAAAGGTTTAACTCATTAAATCTAAATTCTAGATCCGCCCCTAACAACAACCTCCTTTGTTTATCTAGAATTGTGCATATAAGCAAAATATAGAATAAATGAATAACAAAACCATGAAAAAATGATAAGTTTCAACACACCTTCGGTCTGAAAAGAGTCTTGGGGACATCAGCTTGACATTCTGTTTTAACAGGAAAATAAGAGTCTAGCTCCTCCAATGAAGAATCCCCTGTTATTAAAACATAAAACCCAAATTGTCCATTACAATTACAAGCAAAAATAAAGAAAACCTAAACATAAAAAAGATAAAAATTATACTCCTTACAATTACCATTCTTGCAGGCAACTATCATAGAGTTTCCCATCTTGGGGTTCTTTAAAAATTGCTCAAAAATTGCAAATTGGAGGATATAATGAGAAATTTACAACATCAAAAAGATTATATGTACATATTTAACGATTTAATTAGCACCTTGTAGCAAAAGATACTGCTTTTTTTTTTAGGATTGATTTGTAGAAAGCAAATGTTGGGGAAAAGAGGTGAAGTACTAATGAATAAGAAATTATTAGAAGAATGCTTACTGGGCACCAACGAGGAGAATCTTGTGCTAGGTGGCAAAGAGTTGGCAGGGAATAGTGTGTGTGTATATATATATATATATGCAAAGGGCCAAATATACACGTTTAGTTTCGAAAATGGTTTAAGAATAACCTTCGTTATACTGTTGGGTTATATATACACCTACAGTCATACTTTAAGTTCAACTATAATTCTCATTTAAACGGAGGAACACGTGTCATCGTCTTATTCATCAATTCTAAATATCTCCTAATTAATTAAAAAGACACATTATCCATACCCGAAAAATATATTTTTTTTTGTAAAAACTCGAAAAAACTAAAAAAATAATTTTACTAAAAACTGAAAAAATGATTTTTTTTAACTAAAAAATGAAAAAAAGAAAATATTTATTTTTTCAGTTTTTGCAAAAATATTATTTTAGAAAATATTTTTCAGCTTTTTTTAAAGCAGTTTTTTTGTAAAAAGTGGAAAAAAAATAATTTCATTTTTTTCAGCTTTTAATAAAAAAACATTCAGATTTTTCCATTTTTTACAAACAATATTGCTTTAGAAAATTGATTTTCAGCTTTATTTTTTATCAGTTTTTTCAAAAATATTATTTTAGAAAATATTTTTCAGTTTTTTCTAAAGCAGTGTTTTTGTAAAAACTGAAAAAAAAATATTTTTGTTTTTTTTTCAGTTTTTAGTAAAAATTTTTTTTAGTTTTTTTCAATTTTTACAAAAAAAAAAATAATTTTCGGGTATGGATAATGGATTTTTTTAATTAATTAGGATATATTTAGAATTGACCAACAGGACGATGACACGTGTCCCTCCATTTAAATGAGGGGTATATTTGAACCCAAAGTATGACTGCAGGGGTATAGATAACCCAATAGTATAACGAGGGGTATTCTTAGACCATTTTCGAAAGTAGAGGAGTATATTTGGCCCTTTGCCGTATATATATAGTTCTTAAAAGTGATGATTATTGATCATATTGTGATGACCCACCATGCCATCATGCCACATAGGTGCCATTTGGCATATATTAATGTCATATGGAAGTTTACATAGGAGAAAGGCTATCATTTGTGAGAAGATTCTAGAGAAGTATGGACATTTCCTTTGGAAGAACCTAGATCCCTATGGATTTGCTAGGAAAGTCCTTGAAATCTTCTAGGCTTGTAGAGAATTCTAAAGAAAGCCCTTATCTTGTAAATATTAAGGACTTGTATAACAATTAATATTTATACACTAGCCCCCAGTAGAGTAGTATATAAAGGGGGTCATTCATTTGTATTTCACCAAGCAAACAATTCAAGTTCTCTCTAATATAAAGCTCTCTTTAACAATTCTCTTGTGTTCTTTCTACCATTCTCTTAGCGATCTTGAGTGTAGTAAGGCTGACTTGGCATAGCAAGAACGTGAGCAAGTTGTGCAAGATCGTGAGCGAGTTGTCAAGTGTCGCACGTGTACTTAGTTAATGACTAAGGACGTGACAACGTGGTATCAGAGCAAAGGTTGCAACTAAGGGAATGACGAACGACGGAGAAATTAACGCTGTCAACACCCAAGTCAACGCCATCCAAGATGTTGCTGGCAAGAGTGGCCGTAACAAAAAGAGGAATGCCACCAACAAGAGCCAGGAGGTGCCACCCGAGGTTGTGTCAAATGAAGGGCTTACATCCCAAGAACCATCTGCCACTGAGGCGAGCGAGGATGAAGTGGAGATCCTTCCCGAGGACGTCTCGCTCGGTAAAGAGTGGGTGATGAAGATGAATGCGGGGATGGACGCCGTGGAGATCTTTGGACAACGTTTGGGGAAGGTGGAAGGCACCTTTAGTGTTCTTGAGGGGCACACTCTTAAAGAGATTGAGAGTATCTGAAATGACTTGGAGGGGCATACACAGACCGAGATGGAGCTAAGGCAAACCATCACTACCTTAGAGTGCAGACTAATGGAGGCTTTGAATACTATCGATGCTATGAAGGAAAAGATAGAGTCACTCGAGGAGCATGTTAGTGCTGGCGTGACCGAGGTAGCCATCAATGTTGTGGTGACGAAGAAGGCCAAGATTGAGGCTCCCAAACTCCCGGTGTTCAAAAGTGTTTGTGATGCACAAGAAGTGGAAAACTTCCTTTGGCACTTGGAGAACTACTTCAGGCACGGCAAAGTGAGGGACGACGAGGCCATGATCAACACTACAGTGTTGTACCTCTCAGAGACTGCCATGCTATAGTGGAAAAAGAAGATAGCCGGCGTGGATAAAGGTCAATATACTATTAGCACGTGGGATCAGTTCAAAGCCGAGTTCAAGCGACAGTTCTTTCCAAACAATGTCTTGTACGAGGCAAGGCGCAACCTTAGGGAGTTGAAGCAAACATGGAGCATACGTGTCTATGTCAAGGTGTTCACTACCCTTATGCTTCAAAATCCCCAACCTAACCAATGATGACTTGTTGTTCCACTTCATGGACGGATTGCAAAATTGGGCTAAACAGGAGTTGCAACGTCGGCAAGTCGTAGATATAGACCAAGCCATAGTGGAGACTGAATCATTGATGGATTTCAGGCATGACAAGCACGACAAAGGCAAAGGCAAAGAATCAAAGGTTAACAATGTCAAATGTGGGGGAGACCGTGGCAAAGGCAAGGAGATACAACAACAATATTACAAGACTCAAGATTCCAAAAAGTCGAATGGCCATCAGGGCTACGCCGAGAACAAGGCACAGGCCGAGAAGAAGGGATGTTACATATGCGGAGGGCCGCACAACTTCAAGAATTATCCCGACCTAAAAAGCCTAAGTGCCATTTTCCGTGAACGGAATGAGCAGTCATAAGGAGAGAGTTCGAGAACCGCACAGTTGGGTATGATCGAATTATGCAGTGCTGTCACAAAGTAATCTATCCAACCTACCGATAATGGCAATCAGTACGTGAATCTCACCATAAACAACAAGCCTGCTCGTGCAATCGTGGATACTGGAGCAACTCATAATTTCGTGACTGAGGCTGCCTCAAAGAGACTAGAATTGAAGCTTGCTCCAACCAACTCTCGCGTCAAGACCGTGAATGCCGAGGTACAGAATGCTCATAGGGTAGCTAATGGAGTTGGTGTCAAATTGGGAACTTGGAAAGGTATGACAAACTTTACCTTAACCGTTATGGATATCTTTGACATCATATTGGGGAAAATGTTCTTTAGACATTGTCATACTTTGATCAACCCCTACCTCCAACGTCTGTTGGCTATGGAGCGAGAAGGATTTTGCATGGTACCTACAGTGACTATGCCACACGAACAGAGCCAAGCACAACTTTCAGCTATGCAGGTTTTCAAGGGGATCAAGAAGGGGGAGCCGACGTTCGTGGGAACCATCGCAAGTCTGGAGGAAGACAAGAGCTTTCAAGAGACACCGTCGCCTTGCATAAAGAAGTTGCTTGAGGAAAACAAAGATGCCATGCCCGAGGAGTTGCTTAAGCCCTTTCCGCCTAGGCGAGAGGTGGATCACAAGATTGAGTTGGAGCCAGGGGCTAAGCCACCCACATTTGCCGCATATCGTATAGCACCGCCCGAGCTAGAGGAGATCAGGAAACAATTGAAAGAGCTACTAGATGTTGGTCATATTCGCCTATCAAAGGCACCTTTCGGCGCACCAGTATTGTTCCAGAAGAAGAAGGATGGATTGAGGTGCTTGTGCATATACTACCGAGCACTTAATAAGGTCACAGTGAAGAATAAGTACCCGACCCCGCTCATTGCTGACTTATTCAATAGACTTTGGGCAAGCCAAGTACTTTACCAAGGTGGATCTTCGCAAGGTCTACTGCCAGGTTCGCATTGTAAAAGGGGATGAGTTGAAGATAGCATGTGTGACGAGATATGGAGCCTTTGAGTGGTTGGTGATGCCCTTCGGCTTAACCAATGCACCGGCCATATTTTGTACCCTTATGAATAAGATTTTTTATCCTTACCTTGATCAGTTTGTGGTAGTCTACATAGACGACATAGTCATCTACAACAACACCTTGGAGGAGCACATGGAACACATAAGGAAGGTTTTCCAAGTCTTGCGGGAGAACGGTCTATACATAAAGAGGGAGAAATACGAGTTGGCACAATCAAAGGTGAACTTCTTAGGCCATATCATTAGCAATGGCAAGCTACGCATGGACGAGGCTAAGGTACTTGCTATCCAGGAGTGGGAGGCACCTATAAAGGTAACTGAGTTGAGATCCTTCCTTGGCCTTGTTAACTACTATCGTCGGTTCATCAGTGGCTACTCAACAAAGGCCGCACCATTGACTGAGTTGCTAAAGAAGAACAAGCCATGAGTTTGGACGGAGCATTGTCAAAGGGCGTTTGAAGGCCTCAAGGCAGCTGTAACAGAGGAGCCACTCTTGGCATTACCTGATTTTGCCAAAACATTTTAGGTGCATACAGATGCCTTAGATTTTGCCATTGGGGGTGTCTTGATGCAGGATAAGCATTCCATAGCATTTGAGAGCCGCAAATTAAATGAGACAGAGCGGCGTTACACGGTGCAAGAGAAGGACATAACTACCATTATGCATTGCCTTCGTACATGGCGACATTATTTGCTCGGGTCGAAGTTCGTGGTCAAGGCCGACAATGTAGCTACTAGCTACTTTCACACCAAAACAGGCTAAGTGTCAGGATTTTGTAAGGACCCGGCCGGTCGTTTTGAGAATTTAAATCCTGTCCGGCGGCATAAGGCCCTGAGCAGCTTTGTATTATATTCCTTGACTTGCGTGCGTGGTTAAATTCAATTATCGGGTGATTCGAAGTGATTTGGGACACTTAATCCCTAAATGAGAGTTTAAGTCTTATAATTTGGACTGTAGTCGGAACTGTATGAAGACAGATCCGGAATGAAATTCTGTCAACTCCGTTAGCTCCGTTGAGTGATTTTGAGCTTAGTAGCTCGTCCGGAATGTATTTTGGAGGTCTGTAGTAGATTTAGGCTTGAATTGACGAAAGTTAGATTTTCGGCGATTTCTGCCGATAGTGGAAAATTTTGATATCAAGATCGGAATGGATTTCCGAAAGTGTTTGTAGGTTCGTAGTGTCATTTGTGACTTGCGTGAAAAATTTGAGGTCATTCGGACGTGGTTTGATAGGTTTCGGCATCGGTTGTAGGAATTTGAAGTTTCAAGTTCTTTAAGTTTGAATTGGAAGGTGATTCATGATTTTAGCATTAGTTGATGTGATTTAAGGGCTCGACTAAGTTCGTATAGTTTTTTAGGATTGGTTGGTATAATTGGTTGAGGTCACGGGGGGCTCGGGTGAGTTTTGAGTGCTTAACGGATCAAAAGTTGGATTTGTGTTGCTGCTGAAGTCTTCAGGCATCTGTCATTTTCGCACCTGCGGTGGAGAGACCGCAGGTGCGTGATCGCACATGCAGAGAGGCAAGCGCAAAAGTGGATCTGGGATGTGTGGTCAGGGGTCACAGGTGCGAAGGGAAATACCGCATCTGCGATTCCCGCAGATGCGCTAAAGGACACGCAGGCGCGGAGGAGATCGCAGAAGCGGACAATAGTCTGCAGGCGCGTACTCGCAGGTGAGGCCTTTTTTCCACAGAAGTAGACCCAACCCTCTTAAGTTGTTTTCGCACCTACGAAGGAAATTCCGCAGGTGCGACCCAAGGTCCGCAGATGCGGAATAACTGGGTAGAAAAAGGGCAGATTCGAGGGTTTGAAGTTCACTTAACAAATTTGATTGAGAGCTCGGTAGAAGGCGGAATTTGGAGAGATTTTCGGAGGAAGTTTTTGGGTAATGATTCCTAACTCCCTTATGGTTATATTTCACTAATCTATGCTCAAATTCATCGTTTAATTTCGAATTTGGGGTGAAAATTGAGAAAAGTTCTTAGGCCGAATTTTGGGGGTTTGATTGAGATTTTGGTGTCGGATTTTAGTAAATTTGATATGGGTAGACTCGTGAGTGAATGAGCTTTCGTATTTTACGATTTTGATCTGATTTCGATAAGTGGGCCCTACGGGCGATTTTGAGTTAATTTCAGAATTTTTGTTAAAATGTTGATTTCGTTAATTAGACGGGTCTATTATTGTTGTAATTATGATATGTAATTGCTTTTGGCTAGATTTGGGCCATTCAGAGCTGGATATTCGTGGAAAGGGCATTCTTACGGATTGATTGAGCTTGACTCGAGGTAAGTATCTTGCCCAACCTTGTGGAGGGAACTACCCTTTAGGATTTGAGTCATCTATGTGATTGTAGTCTGTGTATGTGAGGTGACGAGTGCGTGCTCGCACTTATTTGTGGAAAGTTGACCTTTTAGGGTTCTTATGTCCTTATATTCACCGTGTATGATGTTGTTTTTGATACGTTTCAATTCTTATTTGCTAGTTTCACCTCTACATGCTTTGATTAGAGATAATTGCTTTAGGATTCACTCTTATTATCTATTTGACCCTTATTCAACTTAACCAAAGATTTTACCTCTTCTATCGTCGTGCTATATTTTTCATAACTGCTTATCTTTAATTGAAATCATTATTTTCTCATCCTAAAATTGTTTAGTCTTAATTGGAGTTATGATTATCTTCCGCTGCTTATCCTTATTTGAATTGTTGAATATTCCTCGTAATTTTTCAACCTCAAAAGGAGTTTAGATAACCTATATCTTAGTTGACTTGCCATTATTTGGAACTATCTGACTCGTGTTGGCTTCTTATTGTTGACTCGAATATTGTGGAATCGTTGCTATATTTTTGTTTTGTTTTCCCTTGTTAAGTTGTTCTCCTTGTGCCTACCATTCTTTATTGTGGTTATTCCTTGTGAATGAGTTCTACCGTTCTTGTGATTTAAATTCTTGAGCTGATTTGCTTGTCTTACTTTGCATTTATGTCATTGTTGCTTCTGTACTCGTTGTGGTGATGTACGAGGTTTCTGTAGTGTTATAGTTGTTATCTCTCTTGTTTGCGCTGCATATTTAAATTGGGAATACAGACGTATTCCGGGAGATCCCCCAGCACTGCATATTTATTTTGGGACTACGGACGTATTCTGGGAGATCCAGCACTGCATATTTATTTTGGGACTACGGACGTATTTCGGGAGATCCAGCTCTGCATATTTATTTTGGGACTACGGACGTATTCTGGGAGATCCAGCACTGCATATTTATTTTGGGACTACGAACGTATTCCGGGAGATCCCCCAGCACTGCATATTTACTTTGGGACTACGGACGTATTCCGGGAGATCCCCCAGTACTGCATATTTATTTTGGGACTACAGACGTATTCTGGGAGATCCCCCCCTCTCCAATACTGCATAATTGATTCGGGACTACGGGACGATATCCCGGTAGATTTTCCCTGTGGTTATATCTGTGTTCGGAGCTGCTAATCTTCCATGCTTAGGTGTCACAGAGTGACTTATACTCGAAGGATATTACTTGAAAAGTTTATATTTGAAAAGTATTTATCTTGAAGGAATTATGTTTGAAGATATTTGTTTGAAAGGGGTATACTTGAAAAGTATTTATCTTGAAAGAACTATGTTTGAAGGCTAATTATTTGAAAAGTTTATATTTGAAAGGTTTTATCTTGAAAGAACTATAATTGAAAGATATTTATTTGAAGGAAGTATATTTCAAAAATAATTTCTTATTGGAAAAGATTATATTCTAAAGACCTCAATTTAAAAACTTACGGGTGGAAGTTTACACTTGAAGGATTTGACTAATTTATTGGGGTTGTTGGCTGAGACCTGATGTGAAAACTATTGCAGCTGCTGAGTTACTACTTGCCTTTACTGTATTGTGATTTTTTTTGAATTTGGGTTGTGTTTTAGTTCATTCTTCTGTGTCTTATTCTGGTGTTCTACTGTTACTTGATGTTTTTTTCCCTTCCTTATTGCAATTGCTATGTCGTTAGCCATATCGCGGGTCCTTAGATAGATGTCATGTTCTGTCATCCCTATACTTATGCTTGTTCAGTTTATTAGACCAGTGGGTGTCTTGACTAGTCCTCGTCACTACTTCACCGAGGTTAGTCTTGATACTTACTGGGCACCGCTGTGGTGTGCTCATGCTACTCTTCTGCGCAATTTTTTTGTTTTTGTGCAGACCCAGGTATTTGTTCGTTAGCTAGCCGTGTGGACTGTCGCTGCTGAGACTCAAGGTAAACCTTCCACTGCGTTCGCAGGTTTCGAAGTCACCTTCAAGTTTTCATTTTGCACTGTTTATTCTTATTTCTGGACAGTTGTATTTTGAAGTTTTCTAGCAAACACTCTGTAGAGTTTATGACTTGTACTACCGGTTTTGGGAATTGTAAGAGATTTCTATTTATTTTGTTAGATGTTAATTAAATAATATTATTTCAATTAATGTTAGGCTTACCTAGTCCCTAAGACTAGGTGCCGTCACGATACCAAACTGAGGGAAAAATTGGGTCGTGACAGATTTCTTGGCCGAATTCGATTATGTGCTGGAGTATAAGCCAGGCAAAGGTAATGTTGTAGCCGATGCCTTGAGCCGGAAAATCGAGCTTGCTGCAATCACTTCAACAAGTTGGGACATTCGTGAGGCTATAAAAGAAGGCATGGAGCATGATCCAACAGCCAAACAACTTATCGAGTTAGCGAACCAGGGCAATACGAGACGTTTTTGGGTCGAAGACGGCCTACTGCTTACCACAGGTCGGCGAGTCTATGTGCCTAAGTTTGGGAACATTAGGCGACGGATCATAAGGGAGAGTCATGACACTATACGGGATGATCATCCAGGCCAACGTCGCACTAGGGCCTTGGTTGAATGAGTCTACTATTGGCCACGCATGCGAGATGACATGGAGTGTTATGTGCAGACTTGTCTTGTCTGTCAACAGGACAAGGTTGAGCAACAATAACCCGGATGACTTCTAGAGCCACTACTAGTTGTAGAGTGTCCATGGGATAGCGTGACTATGGACTTTATTACTTGCCTACCGAAGTAAGACATTTATGGTACTATTATGGTGGTCGTGGATAGATTTTCCAAATATGCCACCTTCATGACCGCCTCACTAGGTTGCACTGCCAAGGAAGCCATCAAGCTATTCTTAAAGAATGTGGTGAAGTATTGGGGCTTACCAAGGCATATTATTAGTGATCGAGACCCCCGTTTTATTGGGAACATTTGGAGAGAGTTATTCGACATACTTGGCACGGAACTGCACTTTTCCATTAGTTTCCACCCACGGACAGATGGACAGACGGAACGGTCAATGACTTACTAGAATGCTATTTGAGGCATTATGTAAGCGCGCATCAGAAAGATTAGGCAAGGCTCTTAGACATTGCCCAATTCTCTTATAACTTGCAATGGAGTGAGTCCACGGGGCGGACACCATTTGAGCTAGCCACATGCTAACAACCACAAAACCCACATTCATTACCAGCCGCGTTCGAGGGAAAGAGTTTGGGGGCTTATCATATGGCCAAAGGATGGGAGGAGCAGCATAACACTGCTAAGTCCTACTTAGATAGGGCAACTAAGAAAATGAAGAAGTTTGCGGACTGTAAGTGGCGCCCCACGGACTATAGAGTTGGGTACATGGTAATGGTGAAGTTTAACCCAAGACAATTCAAGGCACTACGGGGCATGCATCAGAATATGATTCGTAAGTATGGGGGGCATTTAAGATCGTCTCCAAGGTAGGCAAGATCTCATACAAGCTTGACATGCCATCGTATCTTAAGATCTATCTTGTCTTCCATGCCAGTATGCTTAAGCCATATTATGAAGACAAGGATGATCCAAGTAGAAGCCAATCAAGTCGAGTGCCTATTACTATCACCGCCTCACATGACCGGGAGATTGAGGCTATTATTGATTACCAGGCCAGGCGAAAACAATGGCATAAATCCACCACAATGTTCCTCGTCCATTGGAAGGGACAATCTCCGGAAGAGGCCACGTGGGAAAGATATGAAGACTTATGGCAATTCAAAGATAAGATCCGAGAGTTTATGCAGCAACATTGCGCCGCGGTCGTCGCAACATTAGGTGGGGAGAGTGTGATGACCCGCCATGTCATCATGCCACATAGGCGCCATTTGGCATATATTAATGCTATGTGGAAGCTTACATAGGAGGAAGGCTATCATTTGTGAGAAGATTCTAGAGAAGTATGGACATTTCCTTTGGAAGAACCTAGATCCCTATGGATTTGCTATGGATTTGCTAGGAAAGTCCTTGAAATCTTCTAGGCTTGTAGAGAATTCTAAAGAAAGCCCTTATCTTGTAAATATTAAGAACTTGTATAACAATTAATATTTACATACTAGCCCCTAGGAGAGTAGTATATATAGGGGTCATTCATTTGTATTTCACCAAGCAAACAATTCAAGTTCTCTCTAATACAAAGCTCCCTTTAACAATTCTCTTGTGTTCTTTCTACCATTCTCTTAGCGATCTTGAGTGTAGTAAGGCTGACTTGGCATAGCAAGAATGTGAGCAAGTTGTGCAAGATCATGAGCGAGTTGTCAAGTGTCGCACGTATACTTAGTTAACGACTAAGGACGTGACAATATATAGCTAAATATATAAGAAAAATGATGATAATAGAAGTCCTCGATAATTTTAGACAACTTAAGAAAATGGCCTAAGGGCCACCTAAACTTGCACCCATTTGTCATCCCGGTATATAAACTTACACATTTCTCATTTGAGCACCTTTACTTGATGAACTAAGTACTAATAAATACGTTTTACCGTTGACTATGCTTACATGGCGACATAATAGTTGACGTGGCCAAAATGGATGCAAATCACGTTAATTAGGCGCGTGAATGAATTAATTTGATTTAAAAAATTATAAAATAAAAAAAGAAAGATAAAATCATGGGAAAAAATAAAGAAAAGAATGAAGAAACCCCTCCCCTGTTTAATTCTTCATTTTAGTTCCCGTTCCCAGCTTCCTCTCCCCTCCATCCCTTTTGTTTTCCCATACCCTCAAACTCCTCCACAACCAGAAAATTAAATTGATCTGGTTATTGCTCGTCTCTTCTTTTTTTCCTTTTTTTTTTAAAAAAATTTTGGTGGCAAAGAGTATTGAAATTGAAATGGTGGTGTTTTAGATGGGTTTGGTCTATTGTTAGTGAGCTAGTTGAAAAGGAGGTGACGAAGATAAAGTGGTAAGGAAGGTGTCAGGCCGGTGGCAAAAAGGTGAAGCAGTGACAGTTTTGTGTGATTCTTTGTATGGTTGCCATTTTTACCGGAGGCAATCTCGCCGGTGTAATTTTGGGGGTCTTTTCTAGAGTGTTATAACTATTTTTAGGTTTTTTTTAACTGAGGTTTGATTAGAATCTAAAGGATCAAATTTGGATTCTTACGATTAAAAATGGTGGATTTACTATGAAAAATGGTGGCTCAATGTCGTCCTAGACGAAGAGAATGGACGGAAAATAAAAATTTTGTGAGTAAATTAATTTTTTATAAAGTGAGACCCCCAAATTACACGTGGCAACTCGTAAGAGGATAAGTATGTGACATGTCATTTGTGTCATAGCGCTTGAAAACCACGCGCAGTCATATGTATTTATTAGTGTGCAAATATATGACTTAAGGTGCTAAAATGGGAAAAGTGTAAGTTTATATACCGGGATGATAAACGGCTACAAGCTTAAATGGTCCTTAGGACATTTCGCCTAATTATATTACTCTAATTTTACAAGTTGCTGTGCTTACTTTCACCAAGAATACTGAGAATTTAAGAGTTCTCTTAAAAATATTTTTGAAAAGTATATATTCTAAGTTTTTTCTAGAAAATACAAATAGGGTTATTATCTAACTAAAAATTTTTTTTGCAAGCAAAATATAAATTATCTATTGCTTTAATCAATAAGAATACTATAAAAATTGTAAAATAACTCAAGAAAAAATAAATGAATTTTGAGAATTTGTCCAAACAAGCTCTATGTTGGAGAGATAAGGGGGTGTCGAACGTTATTGAGGAAGTCTTATATTTAGTGAAAAAATAAAAAATCATTAAGGTGCATATGTAGACCACATATTTTAGTTCCGTAGCAATTATTACTGAATATATATATATATA